AAGGATCTTCTCTAAATTCTTGAAGTAAGGTTGATGCATCAATGATCTCATGGTAAATAAGAGGATTGAAAGGGGAAATATGTTTAATTTGAGCATGCATGGCATGAATAGATGATTTATGGTTATATTTGTCATATTTTGAGGAAGAACCTCCATGGATATGAAGAAATAAAGCTTTTACATGAATAGTTACGATTTTTCACCCCAATTCATGGTTTGATCTTGTATATGATGCATTTGGGTTCGTTTAGAAGCTATAATGTGTAATTCAAGTTGTGTTTCAAGTGTTTTGAGACTTGGGTTTCATCGTGTGGAAGTGGTTTTGCAAAAAAAGAAAGATTCAAGCTTTGGAAGATTTCAGAATTTCGGATTTTTGCATGGTCCGCTCGAGCGGAGGGATTCCCGCTCGAGCGTGAAAAACAGCCTCCCAGCAGTTTGGGACTTTTTACAGTACGCTCGAGCGGCCAAAACTATGTGATCAAATTAGATTTTTGTCAACTGTTTATTTTTCACCATCCATTTTTTTCATACAAAACTGTTTTGATCACATAGCTATCAATATCCGATCAACGTGATGTTGTACAGGCATATAATAAACCCTCTGTGAGTAACATTTCTGTAAAGATATGTTATTATGAACTATGTTTTAAATGTATTACGTTATGCTATGCTTTGAAATGAGAATGTTTTCCGTGAATGAATGTCCTGATTTGCGAATCTAGTATGGCATCCATAGATAGTTGGGTCATGGGGGCGGGAACATGCAGGCCCATGCGTCATGAGTCATGGGGAACGGCATGGAAGGACAAGCCCATGACTAGTTACGAGATCTCGTCGACTGTTGACTGATAGACTGTTATGAAAGGGTCTGTGGAGTATGCCATTACGTATGTTCTTATGATGACTGATGACTGATATATGTTTATGATTGATTTATTGTGGATTTATGAAAATGTCGGACTTCGTTCACTAACCTCTTTACTGTTATGTTACTTGCTGAGCTCTAGCTCATTGTTTGTAATTATGTATTATAGGTGAGCATTCTGGAAGTCAAGCCTAGGCGGGTTCTCGAGCCGAGCCGCTGTTTTGAAGCCTAACAAGTGTTTTGTGTGCTCCGAGCCGGGGCTAGGCCTGGAAGGCCGTTTTGTGAGCTTTGTCTTGTTGTATCTGTGGCTTTTGCCTATGTGTTGTATATGATCTTTTATTGTATGTGATGTAATGTAGTGGGTAAATTAACATTTTTGGCATGTAATGTATGTTCATATAAATGCACAGCTCTTTGGACTATTAGTGGTTATTGTTTTCGCTTCCGCGAGCACTTATATTTATGTTTTGTATAGCAAGGCCTGTGGTAATCTAGGATTACTGGCCGGTCTCGTTGCCAAACTTCTAGGGGCGAGTTTGGGGCGTGACAGTCACACACACACTTTTATCATGGGATCTATGCTTTTCACATAATGCATCACTTTCTTTTATGAGAAATCTTCTAGAGGCTGTACACATTGTGTTTTCAAGTAATTATGCTTCTTGGCTAATCTTGTGTGTTCTAAGGTACAAATCTGAGATTTCTTGCTTGCTCCACCATATTAATTTTGTCGGTTTCTTCTTGTTCATTGTTTTCTGTACAGTGTTTGTGGTTGTTTTTAGTAAGGGGGAGTTTGGTTTATTATTACAAGAGTTTGTTCGCATGATCACTTTGATTTGTTTGGTAAGGGAGATTGGCTTTAGTTGTTTTACATGTTGATATGCACTATTTGTTCATTATTTCCTTCTTGCATGCTCCTGATATTTACATCATCATATCATTGCTTGTATGGTTTATGACCTTGCTTTAGTTGATTGAGCTTCCTTTGTCAATTTGTGACAAAAATGGGGAGAAAGTTGTTGTTCATGTTGTCATGCACATATATCGTAGTGTGATTTCATCCATTCATGTGTCGGGTGCATGTGTCTTAGTTTTCATGTTTTCATGCTACATGTTCTTAAAATTCATGTTTTCATGCACATGTGTCGTAGTGTGATTTCATCCATTCATGTGTCGGGTGCATGTGTCTTAGTTTTCATGTTTTCATGCTACATGTTCTTAAAATCTCCAAGTCGCATCGATTCATGTTTTCCATCTCATGCTTCAAATGCTTTAAGATAATCTAGCCATATGTTTATTGTTTGTTCATATACTCTTGTGGGACTAATAATTGTTTTTGGAGAATGTGGCACTAATAGTTATTTTGCAGCTCATGACCTTGAGAAAGAAGTTTGCCTTTGTTGGCTGTAATGGGTTGGGGTGATTAGGATTTTATTTGTTAGGTGTGTTTTGTCACGGCATTGCCAAAGGGGGAAATTGTTAGGTTTTTATTCTTGGCAATCCCATTTGACAAAACTCCTTTCAGTTGTACTTGTTTTCGCACTTTTATTTCAGTGAGGTTATGAGTTTATTAGATGCGAATTCAACCCGAATCGTGCCTTACAAAGAAGTTTTGTGATGTTAATTCTTTCAAGATTGCCACTTCGCTGATTATAACGGGGATCGAGCTGCCCGGTCAGCTCGTGGGGGTTGAGGGGGCAGCGCCCCTTGGCGGGTCTGGGGCAGTGCCATGGCGGGGTCGAGGGGCAGCGCCCCCGAAGCAAAATGCAAAAATGCATTCAAAGTTGCCTCCCCGCTCGAGCGTCCATTTCCCCGCTCAAGCGGAGAATGCTGAGTTCCAGAAGTTTGGTGAGTCTGCAAATATACTGTGATCCGTGTTTTCACGCTCGAGCGTCCATTTCCCCGCTTGAGCGTACACCCTAATGCGGAACACGCAATATAGAGTCCCCGCTCAAGCGTCCATTCCCACGCTCGAGCGGACCTCGCGATTTCAGATTCTATAAATTCGCAAGTTACTCCAAATCTAAGATTACTTCTCCAGATCTTCTTTTTAGATATTAAGGTTTATATCTGGGGATATTTTGCTGGTTTCCTTTGATGTTTTGATTGAGTATTCAACTCATGGTTTAAAGAGTATATATCAAAGGATTATTTGTTTGTTATACACAAAAGAGAGAGTTGTTCTTCGGTGGATTCTGAAGAATTCGAGCCTGAAGCTTTGGTGGATTCTGGAGTGGCTCATCGTCAAGAAAATTCCGAGGTGAAGACAAGGTTGGAAGTGACACATAGGGGTTGGTTCAATTCGGGTATGGATTCGCTAGGTAATTGAGAGTATACATATGTAATTCCTTTATATCTTCTTAGTAGATTGTTTTGTGGCTGTTGCCCGTGGTTTTTTTTATCACAATTAGAGGTGTCCAATTGTGGTTTTTTCATGTAAAATCGTTGTGTCGATTTGCCTTGATTGTTTGATTGGGATTGTTGTTTACTGCTTAAAATTGATACATAATCACAAATCAACATCTAGGGGATTTCTAGATTTTTCACGAGGGATTTTCAATTATGTTAAAGACAGAGTTTGGAAACGGCTGAATGGGTGGAAAGAAAAATATTTAACGGCGGCTGGTAAAGAAGTCTTGATAAAGTCAGTTGCACAATCCATTCCTACGTACATTATGTCCTGTTTCCAACTGCCAAATGTGCTTTGTGGGGAGATTGATTCTATGGTGAGTAATTATTGGTGGAGCCAGCGGGAGAATAAGCGAAGAATTCATTGGAAAAATTGGCGATCTCTTTGTGATCCAAAATGGATGGGCGGGATGAGGTTTTGGTGCTTAAAGGCTTTCAACACAGCTATGTTGGCCAAACAAGGGTGGAGGTTGATTTCGTCGCCGGATTCATTGCTGGCCAGAATTTTGAAAGCCAAGTATTATCCTTCTGCAAATTTTCTTCAAGCTGGTGATGGGTCGAATCCATCATTCACGTAGCTGAGTATTTTTAATGCTAGGCCGCTTTTGGAAGCTAGATTACGGTGGAGAATTGGGGATGGGCGCTCGGTTCAGATTTGGGATGCAAAGTGGGTGCCTAGGCCTCACACTTTTCGGGTTTGTTCTCCTCCTACAAAACCATTAGCGGGTGCGTTGGTCAGTGGTCTGATTGATCAGGATAGGGAATGTTGGAATTTAAGGTTGCTACATGAGAATTTTATGGAGATGGACGTAGATGCCATTAAGCAAAATCCTCTTTGCTGTCAAGGTATACCTGACATGTTGGTGTGGCACTATACGAGAAGTGGGTTGTATTCGGTTTGTTCAGCTTACCATTTGCAAATGAGTCTTCACATATAGGAGGGGCAAGGGTCTGGGTCAGAGGTGCAACATATTACTTGGTTTTGGAAGCAGGTATGGCGCCTTCGGATTCCCAATAAGATTAAGGTATTTGCATGGAAGTGTTGCTCCAATATTTTGCCGATCAAATCTGTCCTTCGGCATCGGCATTTGATAATGGAGGATACATGTGCTCGGAGTTGGTCTTGATTTTATGAGTTGGGCATATGAAATTGGGTGTAGTTCTGAGGCGGATATATTGGGGTTGTTTTTCCCCTTATGTTGGAGAGTGTGGTCCTCTCGAAACTCCGCCATATTCAATAATGTTGATCGCTCAGCTGTTTCAACTGTTCAAATGGTGCGTGTCTTGTTGCAAGACTTTGGGCAGGCACAATCCAATATGCATGGAGTTCAAATAGACTGTGGTCTGAAGGGGTGGAGTCCGTCGGAAGGAGGTGTCGTTAAGGTAAATTTTGACGGGGCCACTTTCAAAAAACAGCAATCATGTGGTGTGGGAGTCCTCATCCGTGATCACCGTGGTGAGCCGATAGCAGTTTTATCGGAACAAATCCCGACATGGATGGAGGCAGATTGTATTGAAGCTATTGCGGCTGTCAAGGCGCTGGAGTTTGCAGCAGAGTTGGGGCTAACCAACATTCATTTGGAAGGTGACTCTCTAACTATGGTGAAGGCCATCAGAGAAGAGAGCAATTGATGTGCTTCTTTCGGTCATTTTTTACAATGTGCCATTTCTTGTACCAAGCAATTCTTACATTTCTGTGTCTCGCATGTGAGGCAAAATGGCAACCTTATGGCTCATCACTTGGCACAAATGGCAAAGGAAGCTCCAGACAAGCGGTTGTGGCTTGCTGAGGTCCCTGCCAATTTAGTGCATATTTTATTAAATGAAGTTCCTATTCTGTAGGGGGGCCATCCTTTAAAAAAAAAAAAAAAAAAGATCTTGCTAACAAATGTGCCAGAGTACTTTTGTATGGATTATATGTTATATTTGATCATCATCATTATTATTATTATTATTATTATTATTATTATTATTATAATTCTTTAGGTTATATTTTTTATGAATCAAATAAATAAATAAATAACTTATTAGACCAAAAATAATTACAACTATGTATAAAAAAAATACACAAAAAAAAGGTTACATCTTACAAAGATTCCCTCACACTTTGATAAATATTTAGGCCACCTCCAAGATATTAGTAGATTTCCTTTTAAACAATCTCTTGTCAAATTGTGTGGTGGTTTTGACTAATTGCTCCATTTCATTTGTCACTTAATACTTGCTAAATGATCTCTTAACATCTTAATTGAAATTATTGAGCCTTACAATTTTAATAAATGAATATTAAACTGAGACATCATGTAAACTTGCCTTAAAACCACCACATAATTTTTCTTAACTATGACTATGTTTCCTTGCCCAGCCAAAATTATGTTGGGATACCTCTTTAGTGGTGTATGTGATTCAATTAGTTTATTAAAAAATTTTAATTTGATTTAGTATTGATTATAATATATTTTTATATATTATATTTGATTTTTGGAGTATTCTTTGTCTGTTTGGTAATAGCTTAAATTTTAATAAGAATTCCGTAAATAAAAAATATCTTTCTATATTGTTTTATATTTTTTTTTCTCCCGAAAGGTGCAGCAGCCTTTTTGTTTTTTTTTTTTAAATTATCAATTCGGTGGTGTTTTGCTTGGTTGTATACAAAGAACTAGTTTCCGTAGTGCATTGGCCCAAGTCTGAGAGGAAATTCTATGCTATTCTGTTTATGCTTCGAAGTCTTCTCTGTTTGGGTGCATTTTAACTGGTTTGATGGAGTTGATTTGGATATATTATTTTGGGTCTTTTATAATCTATTTTGAAGATAATTGTTCATCTATTTGATGAAGTATTTCTTTTTAATTATTTGTGATTATTTAGAATTCACTTCGTTTGTAATCGTTTAAAAACTATTAGTTGATAGTGGAATCAGATTTTGATCCCTTAAACGTGTCTTACATTGAAGAAATCATGTAAAAATTCTTATATCATTGTTAATTTAATTTTTATTTTCATTAATTAATCTATTTATAAAAAATTATCTATTTTCCCGAACAACAAATTACTGGACCCTCAAGTTGTTGCTCAATTGTTGTACCTTCAAATTTGATCAGTGAGATATCAAATCTAATTTTCACAAACCAAGCAGGATCTCTCTTGGATTTTGGTTACATATAGGTCCCCTAGCCAATGACCATCTTCTTGGAAAACAAATTAAGCATTCGAAGGACTCATATTTCAATCGTTAAAAATTTATTCGTATTTAATTTGTTAAATAAATAAATTAAATTTAAATATATTTTAAAATTCGTTAAAATTTTTAAACAAAGCTTAAATACTTATTTGCTTGTCAACTTGATTTGATAAGTTTAAAATTATATAAAATATTAAATTATTTGACCTTGACTTGACAAAACTTGGTTTGAAATCTACTCAAAAGTTTAATGAACCAAGGTTGAATAAATTTTAAAACTCATTAAAATTATTAAATCAATCTTGGACTTTTGTTTATCACCCTTTTCTACTACTAATAAGTTTTTGGGAGAAATTATTTAGTGCCTCTTGGAGTTATTGATTGATATTTTTCATACTATATTTTAAAATTTCAATACAAAAATGATGAGTTTTATATTAATTTGAATCACCATCAGAATTTATTCCAGAAGTACTCAATAATTTATTTTTTTTAATTTATTTTAAATTTGGTGATTCAAACTAATCAATTTCAATAATATTTTCAATTTTTTGTCTAAAGATCTTGCTAACAAATGTGTCAGAGTACAAGAAGAAAGACAAAACAAAAAAATTAGGTTAAATTACACTGACTTCCCTCATGCCTCGCTTGTTTTTAGATGTAAAATAAAGAGAATTAATACTTTAGAAATTATTAGTGAGATGATTAAGTAAAATTATATTTATTTTGATGATAGTTGTTGGTGTAGGGATTGTTAAATTATTTTTATATAAAACAAATAAAAAAATACAAAAACATTAAATATTAATGTTCAAAAAAAATACCCAACGTGTAATAAAAAATAATAAAAACAAGTAAAACAATAATTTTTACTTAACAAAAAATATGAAAAATTAAAATGTTTATAAAAAATGCCCAACATGTACAAAATAAAAAAATAAAAAAAAAATAGTCCGGCGAATTATTTTTCTAATACCACCTCCACCTTCTCCATCTCAATCCTCCTTCCAAGATCTATTCTAATATCAAGGGATTATGAGTCTCCTCCCCATCTTTTAAAACAAACATAACATGTAGTGGGTTTCACCTCCATCTTAATCTCAATCCCAACTCTAACTCCCTAACAAACGGGCATTAAGGTTTGAAAAAAAATATAGCAAGTCCTACAACACCAACTTTGTAAATATGCTATGTTAGTAATTTTTTGACTTTTTACGAAAAGATGTGTAAAAAAATAGATAAAGTGATGTGATAACTTATAGTGACTTTTTAATTAAAATATTTAGTTCTGAAATGAGGCCAAGTTTTAAAGGATTGAAATTAATATAAATGGTGTGAAGACATTGGGATTTAAAAAAAATCAGTATAAAAGATATAATAATATTATTTTATTTATTTATTTATATGACTAACAAATGATTGATGAAAAGTGAGGCTAAGTGTTATGTGAATTAAAACTTTAAGAGCAGCTAATGCAATTAGACCAAAACTATGGTATTTTTTATATTTTCTCCAAACCTCAAGAAGATAAGTGTAATTTACCCAAAAGATTATGAGATGCTTCTTACCTATTTTAAAACAGTTTTTATCTCAATCTCAATATTAAAAAGTTATTCCATGGCCCAATAGCAAGGTCATGTGATGCTTGAAATCAATTGTAATTAGTGAAAGAAATGATGCACACAAATTTGTGTTGGTGATTGGATAAAATAGTGAGAAACCATGACATTTATTGATTAATTTGTATGGTTACGTGATAGATATGAACATTTAGTAATATCTCTTTTCATTACAAGTTACAAGTTTCAATAAAATTAATTAACATGGGGATTCACCAAACACGTTGTATATTAACAATGCAGTATATGGTAGATGCAAACTTGGGGGGAGAGGAACAGAATCATTTAAATAGAAGCACAATAATATTACTCTATGCTCATGTTGATTACTTATACGGAAAAATGACAAAATAATGACTGTTTAGAATCTTAATATATTATAGCAATTTCAATCCATTTTTGTCGATCACCAACTTACCATGTGTCACAGAAAAACAAAAAAATTAATTATTATTATTTTTTTAAAATTTTGGTGATTCGCTTAGTACTTGATGAGCACTGCGTCAAATGAATGAGCCAACAAAAATATCTTATATGAGATTTTTGTTGGAAGGTGGTGGACATGTAATTAATATTTTTGAAACTAATAACAAAATATATCGTATAAAAAACGAAAAGAAAAGGGAAAGAACTAAAAATTTGATTTTATGGTGCGAAATTTCCTAGAATGTGAGCTATACCCAAATAAATAAGGTTTACATATTTCAAATTTTGAATAATTTTTTTTAATTATTTTTTATAACTAAAATCTTGTATTTGTGAGCATATGAGATAGAAAAGACAATTTTTTATTTTTCATTTTTTACACAATTTTATTTTTATTTTTAAATTTACTTGATCTAAATACACTTAAAAATAAAAATATTTGTGAAAATATCTAAAAAAAATTAGTAAACACAAAAAAACATTTTTTTTTTGTATTTAGTAATTTGTTTTTAGATTTCCTTATAATTTTTTTAATTAGGTCCATTTAAAAAGTAAAAAAATAATAATTAAAATATGAAAAAATTTCACTAAAGATTAAAAAACACAAAAGATAAAAATTATGTTTAGAAAACCAGTAGGGGATTGGTTCTGTAGTAACGCCTTTGGATTTTTCGTCCAAAGTTTAGATTCGAGTCTTCATAGTTCTTTTTTGGGGGGATTAAAATACTTCTCGGAACCTAGAGCATGTGGGGGCTTTAGTTTCAGCATCAACCTAGGTGAGATGGGATTCTCTGAAAATGCGATATGAGTGCTAAAAGATAATACTCTCTGATATTTATGTGAAGTATGCTAGCTACATATCTATTTCATATATCAAAAAATTAGGTACAGAATGTAGAGAATGTCTCAATGAACCTCACGAGTCCAAATTTTTTAGAGTGATTTTTTATATAATGATTTTAGAATAATTTTTTGTGTAATTCAAATTATTTTTTTTTTGGAAGTCATTATTATAGAAAAATTATTCTAAATTTCAATCGTACGAAAAACTATTCTAAGATCATGATAGAAAAAAATCACTCTAAAAAGTTTGAACTCGAAATCAAACACAATGCAAGATCTACATGAGGCCTGCCTCCCTATAAGACCTTGTGTAAATTCTATGCACTTTCTATTTTTCCTATAAAGTCATTTTTGTCCTGCATAAATTTTTGAACTCATTTCTTCTGTCAATCCCAATACTTTTATCACTTGACTATCCCCATTACCGCTGAATAAATTCTCATTTTCCTATAGCCAAAGAAAGATAGCTCTTGTATTTGTATTTGTATTTTTATTTTTATTTAGGTGTCTGAATGTTAACTCTATACTTCAGAGGCACATGCCGACCATCTTTTAAGCCGTATTACCTGCCCAAAATGCCACCGCCTGCTATAGTTTTTATTTTTACCGACTCTTTTCCTTATATATTTGTGGTAAGAAGTAGGGGTGAGTATGATTCGGATTAGATCGGATTGGAATAAAATTAGGATCAATTTGTTATCTGCGGTTCTTGAAAAATCGGAACCA